TTTTCTATTTATTCACCGATTCAAAAATGTACTCACTCTATCACATACACACGTCCGTAGTCGACCGAAGCTCGAACCGGCGCGTAACACAGGCTGTTTCAGAGCCACTCCCGTGTCCAGAACGGTTTGACGGTCCGGTTTTTCATATTACGGAATAATTTAAATTTAGAAGTTTTCATAGGTTGACTTGTAATTGGGATTTACTGTGATATTATGACGACCGCTTGTATCAAGATTCAATCAGCATAACAGATACCTGTGAAAGGAAGCAAATAAAGGATTATGGACGATTAGATGAACATATTTTTTGCTGAAACTAATTATTTGTTAGTGTTTAGTATAGTATAGTATAGTATAGTATAGTATAGTATAGTATAGTATTGTATAGTATAGTATAGTATGGTATAGTATAGTATGGTATAGTATAGTATAGTATAGTATAGTGTAGTGTAGTGTAGTGTAGTGTAGTGTAGAATAGTATAGTATAGTATAGTATAGTATAGTATAGTATAGTATAGTATAGAATAGTATAGTATAGTATAGTATAGTATAGTATAGTATAGTATAGTATAGTATAGTATAGTATAGTATAGTATAGTATAGTATAGTATAGTGATACTATATAGTATATTATGTATATGTATATAGGATCCCTTGTGAATCAAGTCACGAAAAATTCAAGAATCGGCAACAGGCCATTGGCCTATTTCTTCAGTGCCGACACTTCTATTCTATTCTATAGTATAGTATACATTTAGTATATGACTAAAAAATATAGCAGGACCGCGATATAAATAATCCTCCGAGTCCTAATCTTGGTAAACATTAGGATTTGGATTAGATTGCATTCCTTTTTATCATCAAATTTTTCATTGGGACGCGTCCATGCAAAATTTCGGTTTTTAGAGCCATTGTATCGCACACGTTCTACTCGGATGGCAGCCCATCTACATCGATTAGTGAGCGTCGTCGTTTGCATATGAGATTTAATGTTATTTTGTTCCTAAGTAAGTTTAAGTTATAAATTAAGCACTTTACCGACAGAGTTTTGTGAATAAGAAATAATTTGTGGTATATAACTATGTTGTGAGCTAGAATGTTAACGCCTGAGTAACGTAGGATGGTCAGCCCTCCAACAAGGCCTTTGTTTAACGATATCTTCAGATGGCGTTCCAGTATCAATAAAAAAATACTTATGGAGTGTAAAAAAGTTTGTTTCGTTTAAAAAATTTAATGACAAATGACCAGCAATACTGATGGAGAGCACAACCTGGAGTTGCAGCGCATCAAGACGGAATGTGGAACAAAGTTCTGCAGACGACATAAATACAACTTCATTTAAAACACAGTGGCAAACCATACACTTTTTAGAAAAAGTTCTTTTAAATTTCCTGACTTAAATTCAAATTTTCATCGATTTCTCAAGTATGATAATGCTGGTATCCAAGATACTTACAAGTCTACTTATTTGACTCAGAAATGAACCTGATGAAGGGCAACAAAATTTGTTTTCCTATGCCACAATGCTTCATTACATTAATATATTTGTAATAACCACTTCATGGTAGAAAAAGACTGTGAATTTTATAACAAGACTCATTTTTCATTATGATTTATTCGTTTTTCAATAGAATGAAAACCCGCATTGCCTGAAATTCAGTTCTATAAACGTGAATGACTGACTATAAAAAAATCAATAATATCAAAAAGAACAAGTTGATGCGCACCAAGATAATTTTATATGGAAAAAGTACACTATAAGCAAATTTTTCTCCGATTGCTGTAAATTTTGATACGAATTCTGTATGTATGTATCAGGATATTCAGATGCAAATTTTCTGTTTGTGCAAATTACTCTAAGTTGCTGACTACAATAATGATGAATGATATATATAAACAAAAAAATGAACAATTTAGAAAAAATATCTTTGTTCTGCGATGCAGTATACATTTCCGCAGCCCAACCATTCATTTAGAAACCGATAATTACAGAGAGAATCTCAAGATCGTCTACATATTAAACAAGTAATTTGTGAAAGGAAAAAAGCGACATAAAATTTTTAATACCTTTTCGTCTACACAAAAACTGAAACGCTTGAAAAGTTGTTGAAAAACAGGCAGTTGAATCTTTATACTCGAAAATATCGATGAGTTATATTGTTTAAATATTCACACACTTTCTTATCTACAGCCCGAGTATATAGCCGACGTAGACGTAGCATTAATTGATACGCTCTTTTTCCCAGTTAGACTGGGTCAGGATTATCAACGCAAGTGCAAAGAGTGTATCGTTATTTGTAGCCTCACACTCATTTAACTGAATATAAGTTCTAGACTGCCGCGGATTCATAATTAAATTTGGACCACAAACACGTTACATGTTACTGCGCATAATTTGAACCACAAACACAATTCATATTCATGCGTATAATTTGGACCACAAACACGGTACATATTAATGCGCATAATTTGAACCACAAACACAATTCATATTCATGCGTATAATTTGGACCACAAACACGGTACTACATATTCATCCGTATAATTTGGACCACAAACACGTTACATGTTACTGCGTAAATTTGAACCACAAACACGGTACATATTAATGCGCATAATTTGAACCACAAACACAATTCATATTCATGCGTATAATTTGGACCACAAACACAATACATTTTACTGCGTATAATTATCGAAACATGACACCGTCGCTGTCAATAGTCAGTCATGGAAGCTCAGAAGAACTTTCGTCAAGAATCCCTTTATGTACAAGCACGATTTTCTTCAAGCACTACAACAAACTAACAACTTTAACTTATTGTAAAAGTGGGGATATTATTGTACAATAACTCTATACATTATAGTATTTACAACAGTAACACATCCCAGCTAAAAACTGAACTATAAGATTGCAGCGATATCTACATATATAATATACCATCTCATCCTGCCTTACGCGCGACGCTTGTTAGGAAAATGTCATATTTTTGCCATTGAGCAAATAGCAAATGTGTTTTCAAATTAAATGAGAAAATTAGTAAAAACGTATGATTGAAACAAACTCCTTTACCTCACAAATATACATATATATTTCATACAATTTTAGGATGGATGGACTCAATCTGATTCACATTGATTTATACATTTTATTTATATTATTCAGCTCTACAGGCCGAATAAGATGTGAAATTTAGCTGCTGTTTCACTTAAAATTTTATCATCAGATGTATCAATAATGTTGAAATTAATGACAACACGCACATTTACGATGTTTTACGACAATTTTTGCTAATCCTCGCTGCAGATTTATTGTACCAATAACATTAATATGAGGCAAGCACACATTGATAGCCACTATGAAAGTCATTTCTTATTCTACGTGCTGTTCATTTCAAGATTAGGAACTCAAGTTGCTTCTTCAGAGATTGAGAATTAAATTTTTCGCGCAATTGAAATTTATAATTCATGGGCTGCTTTTATAAACGAGTCGCAGAAACGAACAATAAAATGATGAAAAATTTTGATTACCCAAGGCAAGTCAATGCATAACTCAAAAATCCACGGAATCCACACTCAAAATTGTAATATATGCGTATTATGACCCAAAAAAATTACATGAGCATTGAATGCTAAATTTTTTGTAACTGACCTATTATTTTTCACAAAGTCCACAGGTGCTTGTCATTCTCATAAGAATGTAATCATCAATCGAGTATCATTTATTACACGGGCAAGTAATAATTAACACTCGTATCGTATCGGCTTACGTACACTTGAGGCGCTTCAACACTTGAGCAACGTATCTCACACCGGGCATCTGACGTTGAATTAACGTTTATTTAACGTTTTTATAACGAAATTAACGTGTAATAAACGTTTTTCCATCGAAATCAACGTCGTTTCAGCGCCATTTATCAGCCGGGCATCTGACGTCGATTTAACATTTATTTAACGTTTCTGTAACGAAATTAACTCGTAATCAACGTTTTTCGGTTGAAATCAACGTCGTTTCAACGCCATTTGTCAGGGGAGGTGACTACGGGGCCTCTACTGTACCCCGGCCGCCACCCACTTGTCCTCCCTGAGGTCCTGATGCAAGGCGCCCCCATGGGGGCCAGCGACCCCCTGCAGGTCATAACCATTATATGGGTACCCCCCCATGGCCGCCATGTTGGGGAGGTGGTGCAAGATGGCGTCGGCCCGAGCCCCCCTCATGCCGCCCATGCACATAACGTTGTTGGGGTCGTAGGACCCGGCGGCCATCTTGCCGTGGTCGTAGCCATGGGCCACAGAGGCCCTCAGGTACATGGCCCGCATGTCGGGGTGCACGTGAGGGTCCATTGAGAGCCCTGCAGCGTGGGGGTCCATGTGAGCCCCAAGCAGGTGTTCTCTGTATATAATATCATGGTTAATTCTCGGGATAATTGCCGTATTTATACATTATTTAATCCTAATATATTGGCTAACATGAGATAATCGATAATTATTCAATAATTAATTTATAATTTAATAATAAACGAGTTATCAAAAAAGCAACATTTAATATCTCATCGGTCCCTTGAAATTAAGTGTATACTTTGAATTGTGAGGAAAGAGGTGCATTATATAACATTAATTTTTTTAGTCACTACCAAAAAAATATTCAACTTATTTTTCTTGTCCTTTCCAACCCAAACGTATATATATTTTTTCTATATTTTTGTTCAATTAAAATTTTTAATGCATCATTTAAAATTATTATTTAAAAAATCTATAACCTGAAATTATTATGGCCAGACACAAAACATAAACATTCAATGTACGAAAAAAATCAAATATGATGAGCTTTCGTTAATTGCACCTGCGAAAAGTGTTAATTCAACTGCAATAATATATTGTCAGATAAAAAGTTAACAATGAAGACAAGAGCAGTGCTTTAAAATAACGGAACCTGCAACATTAAACACGAAACATCCGGGCCCATACTTTCAAAAAAAGTTAAGAGATCGTAAGTTCATCAGCCAATCATTGACGGCCTTTCGAGCAAAATCCACCAATCATAGACAAGAAAATAGAGCGTTAGTACTAACGTTCACTTAGCGAATTTTGAAAGTATGGCCTCCGATTACCAGTCCCTGAACATAAAATAACCTACAACATTACAAACGAAACATCCGATCACCAGCCCCTGAACATAAAATAACCTGCAACATTACACACGAAACATCCGATCACCAGCCCCTGAACATAAAATAACCTACAACATTACACACGAAACATCCGATCACCAGCCCCTGAACATAAAATAACCTACAACATTAAACACGAAACATCGGACCGGGTGACACACATGTAACCTGACTCTGCTTGCCTGGCTTAGCCTGCGCACCTTGTACCTTATTTCACGCTCGGGCTGAAATTAATTCTGTTCCGACACAAGGCTTATAATTTTGTTCTAAATCCAAAGGCTTACAATTTTGTTATAAGTCCAAAGGCTTATAATTTTGAAGCTAGAATGGACTGCTGTCAACGAGCGTCGTTGCAATTTATTTATGACGGTGATTTGTGGTGTCATGATGTGGTTGAAGGAAAGTCATCGATCGAGTTTTTAAAAAGGTATCAATGAATTCATGATTTATAATATTAAATGGTAAAATTATTTTCATGATTTTATTCAGTACACAATAAATTAAAACTTTAGATAGTTGTGTGCATTCATCTTTTAATCTGTTTATCATTAATCGAAGAAGCAGACATTTAATTACTTCTGAGGCCTATATAAATAAATAACTCTACGAATACAGCTTCTGGTTATTTTTTAGAATATTCAACAAATTATTCATGCAAGCCAATTCCATTTTAAGGCTTTTTGCTACTTCATATGAAATTCTGGTTAGCAATTCATGCACTGACGCTGCCATGTGTGTCTTGATCATTGTCAGCACTTCTATGGAAGTTTTTTATTCTATTCTAATTTTATCTAATAAAAATTTAAATTCATTTCTTGCTCAACATTTTATTTATTTGATTATCGATATAACTGATGCCGTTAAATGAATATACGATATCATGATAATAAATAATACTGACGCGACCCAATTCGCTTCCAAAACCCAATACAAACAATTATTCGCTGTTTATTCACCAGTCACATATTTCCAGTAAAAAACTTTTCATGAATATTGATTTTACCAATAAAAATTTGAAGACAAATATCGCAAACGAAATTCTGAGCAACAAATTTAGACTTGGCAATAAGTATGTTGTTATACTGCTATATAAATGAGGAATTATATATATACCGTAATAACTATGAACTAGGAATTTCGCCGTCGAGATAAATATTCGCGAGCAAATGAGGCGCGACGATGAAGGATTGCATGTGCGGATAGCGCGACATTTCAAGCCTGCCGGAATATTCGGAATTTTTTCAGGCAAGCGCGCGGTCGAGTTCAGGGCGGACCATTTCTCAGCGGAGACGTTCACTGCTGTAACGTGACCCGACCGAGGGCCCGGGGGCGTTCTTCGGGGGGGGTGGTGGAGTGAAGGGCTTGGGAAGGGAGAGATGGGAGAGAGATGGGAGAGAAGTGGGAGAGAAGTGAGAGATGTGAGAGATGGGAGAGATGTGAGAGATGGGAGAGATGGGAGAGATGAGAGAGAGAGCCGAGAGATGGGAGAGAGCTGGGAGAGAAGTGAGAGATGTGAGAGAGAGATGAGAGATGGGAGAGAGCTGAGAGATGTGGGAGAGCTGAGAGATGGGAGAGAGCTGAGGGATGGGAGAGAGCTGAGGGATGGGAGAGAGCTGAGAGATGGAGAGAGCTGAGAGATGGAGAGAGCTGAGAGATGGAGAGAGCTGAGAGATGGGAGAGTAATAGAGAGGAGCATATGGTGAATATATAAGGAGGAGGTTGGGGTAGCGCGGTGAAGAGAGGAGAGCAGCGGCAGATAAGTAAGTGGAGAGTTAAGTATGGCGGGCAAAGAGACAGAAGTAGATGGGGATTACAAAAAGAGGTGTGATTATAAAAGAGGTGAATATAAGAAGGAGGTTGAGGTAGCGAAAGAGGATGAGAAGGCATATACAAAGGGAGAGAGCAGCAAGCGGTGAATATAAGAAAGAAGAGTAATATGGCTGCCATTGCCAAAAAGTCGCGGGCGAACGGAGAGAAGTAGTCGGCCAATTGAGTCAAACGAAAAAAAAAGAAATATGAAAATACGAAAATAATATTTTTCAAATAGTTGAAATAATTAGGGTTAAGGTATGAAAGTTAGAGCAATATCGTTTTAACAGAAGTTAAAACGATTAATGAGGAGTAAGACGGCCATTCAAGAGCACCATTATACATTTAAAAAGTGGAGGGACAAGTTCAAACGATCGGACCACTCAGACAAATAAGTGAGTATTGTCTAAATAGCCCTTGTCTGGGTGATCATGACCCAGTTTACACTTTGGAGGGGAGTATCAGTGCTACGTACGTGAGTTTTTATGCTTGTGCTGTTTGTAGGGAAATGTGCCACTCGTTTAATTTTAAAGCTAAACTTAGGACAAAAATCTAGCCGACTGATGAATGAGTGTAGAATAATTGGAAGTCATTGGAGGCCCGCGTCAATATAAAGTTTGGTTTGGACGTCAGTCACAGGGGATAATATTTAAATAATATAAGTATATAATTAGTATATAGTATAAGTATAACTAGTATAATATAAGTATAATTAGTATAATATACGTATAATTGTTAAAACATAATTATAATTATTGTAATATAATAATAATTCTCATAATATAAGTATAATTAATTGAGTTTATAATTAATACACGACTTATATGACTTGAAGACGCATAAGAACTCGTGCGAGAATTAGAGGTTGATCTCGTGTAATATTTTTAAGTGTTATCTGATTGCACTTGTTAATGCGCAAATTTTCTGGAAAGATCATAAACATCCAAGTTACTTGAGTACAGCTTTCCACTTCATACAGCCGGAAATAAACCGTCCCATGCTATCTTACTTTGTAACCCAGAAAACAAACGTGAAAAACACATCGAAGGTTTGGGCAAAACAGCCGTAAAAAGGAAGCAGGTCTCGCATAGAACAAAACGCCGGCTCCAAATTCAATCCTTCCTGGAGTGGCGCAGGCAAGGCTTCATTAGGACGAGTAAGCGGTCATTTGAAAGGAGAAAGCGGTCATTTGAAAGGAGAAAGCGGTCATTTGAAAGGAGAAAGCTGTCATTTGAAAGGGGATCTTGTTTTGAGTAACTCACACACGAGGGCTGCGAGGTACGGACCTCTCGCAGCGATAATTGTACGTCTCGCCGCTACCGACACCCTCGGCCGACACGCTGGTGGGTGGCCGACTCGGCGGATGTCGGACATTTCAGATTTTTTGTCATAAAAAAATATTTAAATGATTTCGTATACTTTGTATCCAGTGTTGTTTATAAGGGCAACTTTTTTTCTAATATGTGTTTGCTGCAGAATATTTTACAGCTTACATGCACCATCCAATTCAATCATACAAAAAAAAAAAACGATTCAATGTTTAAAAATACTAAAATAGTATTTTGTCTTTTATAAATTGTCTTTTATATTGTATAAATTGCTAAGACTATAAGTCAGGAACTAAAATTTAATTAAAATATTATCCAATCAGAATTTTTATCTTGTAAAGAGAAACCTCCGTAAACTGAATTTACTGTTAGGGGATTTTTAACTCTATGGCAATTGAAAAAAAATTCCAATCTATAGAATCCACTTGCTACAGGGAACTTCATGTACACCGCAGTGCACGTTATTTCAACAAGCTATTTATTAACTAAGATGAACATTTTTCGATTCGATCGCGCTTTTTTTTCGTGGCTACTAGGGTGAACACGAAATAAAATGTTTTATAAGAATCATTTCGTATCGTCGTAAGGCTATCGTCTTGATTGATACCGTCTATTCTCTACCCAATAAATGTTCATTACTTTTAGATGCTGTATACTACCTGCCCGATTCTGATGCCGTCTATTACCTTCCCAATGAATTTTTATTACTTTCATGATGTTAGGGATTACAATAGGGTTCGTTAAATTTGTCATTTCCGTTTTGATTCACCACCGATGACTTCGCAAATGAATGTTTACTTATTTATCATTGCTATGTGATCCACCACAGAGGTTATTAGTACCTGAATTGTTTATCGTGTTAATCTTTCGTGTTTATGTAGTGGTGGTTTTTCTGGTGATATTGAATATTTATATTAGGTTATTATTCATGTCTTATATATAAATTCGTTAGCGTTACGCTAATTCAAGTCTTTAATTTGTATTTATTCGTGCTTTTTGAGCGGGGCTCCGAACCTAGGACATGATTAGGTATTAATAGGCAAGAGCTAGAAAGACTGACGGTTTATAGTTTTGTATTTTGTTTT